TGCCCACCCAGTGCCCATTCACACACACAGACACAGCCCGCCACGGTGCAGGGCTAGCACAAATAAAATCGACTCCGGTCGATTGTGCAAACAATGTAGTAAACGCGCCCATGTCACCATGCCCGCTCACACTACATGCTGCGTGTCCCTTGGTTTCTGTAAAAACGAAACCAACACACATTCAGTCGGCCATGAACGACAGTGTTTTCAGTGTAATAAATGTGCCCGCAGCCCCGCGCCCACATTTTGTCACAGACACGCCGATTCCTACGGGATCTCCCCCGCTCGCTTTTTCTGCACAATCTGCCATAAAAAAGCTGAGCGCGGTCAGGCCGCCCGCTGTGATCAGCGCGCCCCCCGCCTCGAACGCTGTAAACACGGTGTTGTGTTCCCAGTATGCCCGGGCTCTCGAGCTGCCGTTTTGCCGCGACCAGAGCCCGGATTTCATTCTGCCCCTAGCTATTCATGCAGATGCGTGGTCAAAGCTTCCCGGGGTATCAGAATGGGTGCTGAACACTATAAAGAGAGGCTATTCGCTACAATTCGCTCGACGCCCGCGCCGTTATACGGCGCGCGTCGAAACTACGGTGAAAGACGAAGTGTCTCATCTACTTCGTGCCGAGATAGCGAAACTACTGAGCAAAGGGGCTATAGAACCTTTATCTCAGGCTCAGAGCGAAGGGGGCCTATACAGCAGATATTTTCTGGTACCGAAAAAGGATGGGGGTCTCAGACCCATTTTAGATCTACGACAGCTGAACAGAGTGCTTGTCAAACGCCAGTTCAGAATGCTTACGACCAGGAAAATCCTCGCGCAAGTGCGCCACGGGGACTGGTTTATGTCGATAGATCTGAAAGACGCCTATTTCCAAATACAAATAGCGTCCCATCACAGGCGATTTTTGAGATTCGCCTTCGAGGGCCAGGCATATCAATACACAGTCCTGCCGTTCGGCCTGTCCCTAGCACCTCGTACATTTACGAAGTGCATGGACGCGGCGCTCGCACCCCTGAGACTTCAGGGCATGCGAGTCCTGAACTACTTGGACGATTGGCTGATTCTAGCTCGATCACGATCGGAGCTCATAGAACACAGGGCCGCATTACTCGAGCACCTCGAGGAGCTGGGCCTCACAGTCAATTGGACGAAGAGCTCACTGTCTCCCAGTCAGAAAATTTCCTTTCTGGGAACCGTGTTGGACTCGCTGTCCATGGCAGCACGCCTGTCACCAGAGCGCGTGCTAAATATTCAGCCCGGCGTGAAATCCTTCCGCCATGGCGCGATAGTTCCGCTCAAAAGGTTTCAGAAAATGCTGGGGCTGATGGCCTCAGCAGCCTCTGTACTCCAGTTGGGCTTGCTCCGCATGCGCCCACTGCAGATGTGGCTGAAAGCGCGGGTTCCACCCAGGGCATGGACAGCGGGTCTGTTTCGCCTCAGGGTCGACCTTCAGTGTGTTTCAGCTCTGGAACCTTGGAAAATAACCGACTGGTATCAGTCAGGTGTGAGTCTGGGGACCGCTTCGAGTGTGAAGGTGGTGTCTACGGACGCCTCCACCTCGGGGTGGGGAGCGCTGCTCGAGGGCAGACCGCTAGCTGGCCTGTGGTCAGAACGGGAAAAGCTCCTTCACATAAACTGCTTGGAGATGATAGCAGTCGACAAAGCGCTACGGCGTTTTTGTCCCCAGGTAACAGGCCACCACGTCTTGGTCCGGTCGGACAACATGTCAGTGGTGGCATACATAAATCGCCAGGGCGGCGTCAGGTCACGAAACCTTCACAGGCTGACGGAACGCCTTCTGGTCTGGGCTCAGCACAACCTGCTCTCACTGAGAGCGGCGCACGTGCCTGGTCACCTGAATGTGGGACCAGACAGACTGTCCAGGAACAATGTTCCAGCAGGGGAATGGTCGCTGCACCCGCAGACGGTCCAGCTGCTGTGGAAAACGTTCGGCAGAGCACAGGTGGACCTATTCGCGTCCCACGAAAACGCTCATTGCCCGGAGTTTTTCTCGAAAAGCAAGGACGCGCTGGCTCATGTTTGGCCCCGCTGCCCCCTATATGCTTTTTCTCCTGTCTCGCTCCTGCCTCAGGTGTTGGAACGAATCAGGGAGAACGGATGCCCAGTGCTGCTCGTAGCTCCGCTCTGGACAAACCAGACGTGGTTCCCTGCCCTGATGCAGCTGACCAGCACTGCCCCATGGCCTGTACCATTGAGGAGAGACCTCCTCTCTCAGGCGGAGGGCTCGATTTGGCACCCTCGCCCGGAGTTGTGGTCCCTGCACGCATGGGCCATCAACGGGTACCCGCTAGCCTCCCAGAAGGAGTGTTAAACACGATCGCGCAGGCTAGAGCTCCGTCTACCAGGCGGCTCTACTCCTCGAAATGGTCTGTTTTCTCTGCATGGTGTCAAGCCCAGAGCTTTTCACCTGTGGAATGCGGGGTTTCGGAAGTGCTTTCCTTCCTTCAAGAGCTACTGGATAAGGGCAGGACCCCATCCACGCTCAAAGTATATGTGGCGGCCATAGCAACGTTTGCAAAACCGGTGTCTGGCCAGTCGCTGGGGAAAAACGACTTAGTCGTGCGTTTCCTTAGGGGAGCTCGGAGGCTGAACCCTCCCAGGCCCCCTTCAGTCCCGACGTGGGACCTTTCCACGGTCCTGGAGGCCATGAAAGGCGCCCCGTTCGAGCCAATCCAGCTGGTGGACATGAAACACCTGTCGTTCAAAACAATGTTTCTCATGGCTCTCGCTTCAGTGAAGCGCATAGGGGACTTACAGGCGCTTTCAGTAAGCGCGTCGTGTATGGAGTTTGGGCCTAATGACTCGAAGGTCATTCTCAAACCAAAGCACGGGTATGTCCCGAAATCCCTCAATACACCGTTCAGGGCCCAGGTAATTTCCCTGTCCGCCCTTCCGGTTCTCAGTGAGGAGGAGGATGCAACTCTCCTTTGCCCCGTCAGGGCATTGAGAGCTTATGTGTCACGCTCGTCTGTTTTCAGACAGACGGAGCAGCTTTTTGTTTTGTTTGGCGGGCGTTCCAAGGGACTCGCCGCCTCAAAACAGAGCCTATCCAGATGGATAGTGGATGCCATTGCGCTCGCTTACTTTGCGAAGGGCCTACAGTGCCCCTTGGGTGTCAGGGCGCACTCCACGAGAGGCGTGGCCTCTTCGTGGGCATGGTCGAGCGGGGTTTCCCTGCAAGATATCTGTACGGCCGCGGGCTGGGCCTCGCCGTCTACATTTATAAAATACTATAACCTGGAGGTACCCGCCTTACAAGCTAAGCTTTTGGCGGTCTAAATTCAGTGCTATCTGCCCCGCTGTGCGGCCCAGATGCTGAGTTTACTGCAGCCCCATGAGTGTTGACACACGTATGGCCACCCAGATCAGGCTGAAAGCTTTCACCCTGGCTGCGCGTTTTATTGTCATATAATAGCCCCGCTGGGTGCTTTTTTATAGGGAATGACGCTTCCAGCCTCTCTTCCTCCACTCTATGTGAGTTTATGGTGATTATGCATTACATGAGCCCTGGGCTTCGGCCCCCGGGACTTTGGTGTTGGATCCCTGTACGCACGGCGTGTTGCATTGTGTTCCCCTAGCGTAAGCTATTACGCAGTACGAGAGATACTCTCGTAAGAGAACGTACTCGGTTACTAACGTAACCTCGGTTCTCTCTAGAGAGGGAACGAGTACTGCGTATCTTGCCGTGCTTGGAATACGCTCTGGTTCGCTTCAGTGATAAAAACCAGCTTGTATCAGCCTAACGAGCATATTTATAGGGTGAGACCACGCCCCTTCTGGCGGGACGTGACGATATGGGCGCGAATTGCCCCCATTGGTCATTACGTCACGCAGAGTCTCTCTCGATAGGCTGCTGCATTTGCTGCAGAGCAACCAATAGGCGCGCGAGCTGTTTCGCCTATGTCTGCTTGCTGCTGCAAAGCGTTTTACATTAATAAAAAATTAAGGATAATTTTTGGCTTCAATATCTCGCGGAAAAGAGTTTTTCCCCTAGCGTAAGCTATTACGCAGTACTCGTTCCCTCTCTAGAGAGAACCGAGGTTACGTTAGTAACCGAGTACGTTTACGTTAGTAAGCGAGTCGTTCTTAAGTATTTAGTTGAACACCAATAAGTGTAACAAAATAAAACATGTTGGAAACATCTTTATCACATAATTACTGTCTTTTCACTGTATTATTTTAAAGATTGGAAACGAATGGATTGTAAAACTAAACAATTATTTTTATACTAAAACATTATTTTCAGGAACAGCTCATTTAATTTCTAAGTAAGTTGATATTTGACGTAAACTCTTGCCAAGATTTTAAGAGTGCAAAGTAAATGTTTATAATGTGTTAATCAAAACATAACGTATTAAACATACTGGAGACATGCATCGACTTTTTAGTTTTGTCGACTGTAGGCTATATTCAGGTTTCAGCAGTTCTGTGATCACCAGTACAGAACCGAGAACTTTTTCTTTTGGACACGTTCGATACAGAGAACCGATGAGCTGGAGATATTGAGCATGCGTGATAGCCCCGTCTCTGAACCGAACGCGGAGGCGGAACCATTGCAACTCTGCCATCATTATGTTAAGCCCGCCCACCGACTCTATACACTATGTGATTGGCCTGACTAGATTTTGATTTCTAGGCTAATTAATGCCTTTGTCTGAATTTATTTTTATCCGCCGGGATGATAGAATTGACGTCATTACTTGAGGACGTAAAAGAACTGGGGAACTGTTTTTTTTTAACCGGTTCATTGAAACAAACTGTCCGAAAGAACAGATTCGCGGAAAATAACCGGACTTCCCATCACTATTATATACAAATACTATAATATACTATATACAAAAAAAAAACAATATTACAACAAAACATAAAACAAACCCAGAAAAGGAAAATCCACCAACAGGTATATGATACCGCCTGTACATTTTTTAAGTTTGTTGAGATTTTTGGATGTCCGCAGCTCAGTGACCTTTTGAATAATAGTTGGCCCCTGGAAATTTCTGGATCACTGCATCTGTAAAAAAGACAAATTATTTTATTGGCATTTGAATTTGTTTTTAATAAGTCTTTACTGTTGTGTAAAAACAGCATACTCAGTTTCCTGTAGGCTGGAAGGTGATGCCAGTTGTTCCTGTGTGCTCTGCTCCTTCGCTTCAAGACATTTTCCCAGCTTGCCCATTGTACTAAGGAGTTTTGGCATTTCTAGGAAGCAAAAAAAAAAAAAAAATTGATTTTCAGTATCAGTATTTTCAATTTTAGCACAATCATCTTGCCCAAAACTCGGAAATAATAGCAGAGTGGATTAGCTGATGGCATTAAAACAGATAAACAGATATAGACTTGTATATAAGCTTTACCATAAGTAGAAACGGGTAAAAAAATAAATAAAATAAAATAAATAAAAAATAAATAAAATAAATAAATAAAATAAATAAGTAAAAAAATAATCTTGTGACCTTTTGTGGCTAGATGGTCCATCATTACTGGTCTCCTCTTCAACAAGCCTAGGGTTTGGCCTGCATTTTCTTTTGCTCTGAAGTTTTGGACTGGACTGATGTTGTGTCCTCATTCGTTTTTCTAGGGTGGACTGTCTCTCTGTGGGGGAAAAAGGGGAATACAAAATGTAGAATCTAAAACAAAAGATACAACTAGGGCTATGACAATGACAACAACATAGGCTGACCGAATGTAAACGCTTATGCACCCACAAAATTATTGATGTCATAATGGGGGACAGTGTTCAAAATATTAGCACACATACTGACAGGAATTAAATATCCTGCAAGTTTACATTGGCATACATTTGAGATATTTTTACTTTAGTATTATTGTATTAGTTAGTTCTAGACTCTAAAGGCATATATTGTATTTTTTTCTCCACTACATGATGTGTTTGACAGCTGAAATCTTACTTTTTTTAAAGATATTATTCTCACATAAAAAACATTTAAATATCTTAGAATGATGCACTGCAGTGTAACGTTAGGCCTACTCCTAGCTCGTAAACATGACCATGAAAATGAGAACATGAAAATGCAACGCACAAAATAAAGCAGTTAATATTAACGTTAAAAAAACCTTAAAGGCACACTGTGGAACTTTTCAACCTTTATAATATATTACCAAAACCCATTGAGATGGTACATCGACTTACAATAGGTTGAATGACACGTCTGCCGAAGCCTGAAGGTGTCTGTATCGCTTTTACTAGCACTATGTAACTTCGGGTTTCGGGTAGGAACCTGAGCACAAAAAGAACTACAAAATTCGACCGCTTTACGGCATACGTCACTTCCCCCACCACCCCAACTTCCTCAAATTCTAACGTGAGAGCTCAACTCGCGTTTGATTGCCGGCGTCTGTATGTTGTCGTCATGGCTGAATCAACAGCTACTCGGAAGAAAGCGAAGAAAGCAAAGATTTTGTCAGAGGAGACCAAAAAAAGAAAAAGGGAGAGTTTAAAATAAACATCGGCATAAAAGTGTATATATAATGTAATATTTACTGCGAATTCGTGTAACAAAACTGATATAAGTCACAACATACTGCCGTATACAAATGTAAATGTTTTTTTTCCTTTCATCCCATATATATTTGTATTTGTGTAAAAGGAAAAACAAACTGAAGACTACAAATAACGGAAATATGTAGTGAGTTATATCAGTTTTGTTACACGATTTCCCGACTACTCGATTTCATCTCCAACCCATTGCAAAGAGATCCTGAAGACGTTAATTGTTTGCTTCAGGTGTGTTTGATTAGGGTTGGAGATGAACTGTGCAGGACAGACGATCGGCAGGAGCAGGATTGGGCAACCCTTGTCAATGCGACTTACCTGATCAGACATTGTTTTCTGCGTATGCTACTTTTATTCAATTTGTTTTCTTTATAGGATTTATAGTATTAATCTTATATTTATATTATTATTTTGGTCAGTAGTGAATTGATTAACTTTCTCCAACATACAAATCAAATGCCGTCTGCACACACATAAAGACACGGGAGGTTGACCGGTTGACTGTTGACTTTTGCGACAATGCTGCGGCGCTTGTGGCCTCTAGGGGCACTAGACGTGAAAATTGCAGGTCGAGCGCACCCTAGTGGCCAAAAATTCCACAGTGTGCCTTTAACAGTTAAACACTGAATATCTGCTCAATTATCCGATCTGTGCTAGCTTCGATATGATCAGTAGCTTATAAATAGCTCATGCAATTCAGCGATTATTTTAATTATTTATTATCTGTGCAATATCAATGTGTGAATTATAATAAAATTTCAGAAATTAACTTACCTGCAACACAGTTGCCTCGTACGGCCATCCGCCTTTAGGTTTTTTCTTCAGTCCACCTCTCCACTCAATTAAATATAGCCAGATCTGTCATCAAGTCCTTCTAAGAAATCATTAATATTGAAGTTTTTTATGTGTGATGTTGGAACAATGCTCCAACTTTAATTATCAGCTTCTTCTTTCCACTCGACAAGGGCGAACATTCTTCATCCGTTGGTCGCTGAATGCGCGTAATTTGACGGTCTTTTGATTGCGTTTGAATTTTGGCGCGCCTAATAAAGATAGTGCATTAGGCAATGACGTAAGGTATTGGGGTGGAACCGCATGCTAATAAATGCATAGATTATTCCAACATTAATAATTTAGAAACCATTATAGTATCTCTGGATGCGGAAAAAGCCTTTGACAGAGTTAATTGGAAATTTCTATTAGCTACTTTAAGTAAATTCGGCTTTGGATCAACCTTTATTAACTGGATTAAGATCTTATATAAATCCCCTAATGCAAGAGTTAGGACAAATGATCAAACCTCTCCTAGCTTCAATCTGCAGAGAGGCACTAGGCAGGGATGCCCTCTTTCCCCATCACTTTTTGCCATCTTTATAGAACCTTTAGCAATGGCAATAAGGCAAAATCAGGATATTAAAGGTGTTTGGTCCTTAAAGAATGAACATAAGATAAGCCTTTATGCCGACGACGTTTTATTATTCCTTCAGAACTCATGTACATCTTTCTCTGAATCAATCTCATTAATCAATAAGTTCTCATCCTTGTCCGATTATTCTATTAACTGGTCAAAGAGCACAGTTCTACCGATTAATTGTAGGTTTCAAGGGCCATCCAATATAGCATTACAATCAGGTAATATAAGATATCTTGGCATAAACATCTCTTCCAGATTGTCAGATTTATTAAAGTTAAATCACACTCAACTACTGAAGACCATAGAAGACGATCTTGCTCGGTGGAAATCTTTACCCATCTCACTCATGGGTAGAGTTGCCACCATAAAAATGATGATATTGCCTAAAATCAATTACTTGTTTTCTATGGTCCCTACGAAACCTCCCTATACATGGTTTAGATCACTAGAATCACACATTTCTCAATTTCTCTGGAAGAATAAACCCTCTCGAATCAGCCTGAAAACTCTACAGAAAACTAAAGACAGGGGTGGACTAGACTTCCCTAATTTCCATCATTACTTCTTAGCAAATAAGTTACAGTATATTTCTAAATGGCTCAAACCTAGTGCATTGGATGAAACATGGATGGATATAGAGCAAACACTATGTGACAACCTGGAAATTTCTAATCTTCTGTATTTTAGTTCAAATATTAAATCTCATAAGTGCTTTCAGACCATTAACATCAGCACTTGTTTGACAGCCTGGTGGGAATTTCTTAAAAAAAACAGACTCTTCAATGATCCCATGTAGGCTTACCCCTATATGGAATAATCCTGATATCACACTAAACAAAAATATGATTAATTTTATCCAATGGGAAAACAAAGGAATTAAACATTTAGAGCATTTAATCCATAACTGTAACTTTTTACCATTCCAAACAATCACCTCACGGTATGGGATAAGTAATAACAGGTATTTAGAGTATCAACAACTCAAAGCAGTAATAAGTAAAAAATTCCCTCTTAAGCAAATAAACCTGGAACTCCCACCAAGTGTTTCAGAATTCAGGAGCCTTGGTACTCCAAAGCTACTATCGAAAATATATAGAGTCATCTCCAAAATAGATGATACAATCTCATTACCAATTGCAAAATGGGAGTCGGATCTATCACTGAATCCCACCAATCAGATTTGGTCAGAAATAATATTAAACAACTTTAATATGACTGACAGCTTGAATCTACGACTCATACAATACAAAATCCTCCATAGAACTTATTATACAGGACAAAGGATGTTTAAGATGGGTTTTAATCAATCAAATATTTGCACGCAGTGCACAAGTAATACAGCAGACGATTACATGCATGCCTGGTGGCTTTGTACACCAGTCCAAAGATTCTGGACTAAGGTTTGTGAGGACTTATCAATATGGCTTAAGTGTAATATACCTACTTGATCTGCGGTACGATACCACTCCGACATGCGGTACGGTACCAGTCCGACATCCAACATCCAACTCAAGCCAGCTCACAATCAGTGGGCCAGTCTGGTATCCAAAAACCAGCCCAAGTCAGCCCACAGTTTGTGGAACTGTTAGATAGCCTGCTGTCAGCCCAAGCCAGATCACAGTCTGTGGACCAGTCTGGCATCCAACAACCAGCCCAAGTCAGCTCACATTCTGTGGACCAATCTGGTATCCAGCAATCAGCCCAGTCCTGCTCACAATCTGTGGACCGGCTGGGCATCTAACAACCAGCCCAAGTCAGCACACAACCTGTGGACCTATCTGGCATTCAACAACTAGCCCAAACCAGCTCACAGTCTGTGGATCAGTCGGGATCAGTCGGGCATTTAACAACCAGGCTAAGCCAGCTCACAATCTGTGGACTAGTCTGGCATCCAACAACTAGCCCAAGTTAGCTCATAATCTGTGGACTAATCCGACATCCAACAACCAACCCAAGCCGGCTCACAATCTGTGGACCAGTCGGGCATCCAACAACCAACCTAAGTCAGCTCACGGTCTGTGGACCAGTCTTGCATTCAACAAACAGCCCATGACAGCTCACAATCGGTAGACCAGTCTGGCATCTAACAACCAGCCCAAGTTAGCTCACAGTCTGTGGATTAGTCTGGCATCCAATAACCATCTCAAGCCAGTTCACAGTCTGTGGACTAGTCTGGCATTCAACAACCAGCCCAAGTCAGCTCATAACCTGTAGACCAGTCTGGTATCCAATAACCAGCCCAAGTCAGCTCATAGTCTGTGGACCAGTCTAGCATCCAACAACCAGTCCAAATCAGCTCACAATTTGTGGACCAGCCCGGCATCCAACAGCCAGCCAAAGTCAGCTCACAGCTTGCGGACCAGTCTGGCACCTAAACAACCAGCCCAAGTCAACTCGCCATCTGTGGACCAGTCTGGCATTTAACAACCAGCCCAAGTCAGCTCGCCATCTGTGGACCAGTCTGGCATTCAACAACCAGCTTAAGCCAGCTCACAGTATGTGGATCAGTCTGGCATCCAACAACCAGCCTAAGCCAGCTCACAATTTGTGGACTAGTTCGGCATCTAACAACTAGTCCAAGCTAGCTCAAAATCTGCGGACCAGCCCGGCATCCAACAACCAGCCAAGACGAGCTCACAATCTGTGGACCAGTGTGGCATATAACAACTAGCCCAAGTCAGCTTACGGTCTGTGGTCCAGTATGGCATTCAATAACCAGCCCAAGTCTGTTCACAATTTGTGGACTGGTATGGCATTCAACATCCAGCCCAAGACAGCTTACGGTCTGTGGACCAATCTGGCATTTAACAACCATCATATGCCAGCTTACAATCGGCAGACCAGTCTAGTATCCAATAACCAGCCCAAGTCAGCTCATAATCTGCAGTCCAGTCCGGCATCCAAAAACTAGCCCAAGCCAGCTTACAAACTGTGGAC